ATCAGTACGCATCCACTGCCAGGATTAGAACCCAGGACCGTCGTCTGGTTACAAGGCTAGCGAGCTCGTATACCATACAGCCACTGGGACCCGATTCAATGGCCAGCCCACGAATTCTAACTCTTACGAATTCTTGATTTTTAGCGCGACTGGCACCACCCAATGTCATCGGTGGGAAATCCATCACTACTCCCGACTAGATGCATCTCACTGGTCACGACTTCTCGCGGGCCATTGGATCGTGTCCTAGTGGTTGAATGGTCATCTGAGAGCTTACCTAATTCATATCAATCCGTGGTCAAACTCGAAAAAACATTGAACTGCGCATAACATTATTGTGACGTCCAACGTTTTTCTAGACTAGTACAATAATTTTGTATGTAAACAAAACACCTAGTTCAGGGAAGAGTCTCTTTTCGGTGAATTTATTCACTTAGCTGCATGTACAATCTCAAGTATTATTATTATTATTATTGTTCCCTTGGGTTCCTAGTGGAACATAGGGCTTCAACTGCACGTCTCCACTTGTTTCTGTCTTGTGCTGAATAGTATACGAGCTAGCCTTGTAACCAGAAGGTCACGGGTTCGAAACCTGGTGGTGGGTGCGTACTGCCGATGATTCCCAATGCTAGGATGAAACAGCTGTCCAGTCATAACTGCCTGCCGGTTTTCAATGGTTCTCTAACTGATGTCAATCCGTAGTCAAATTCGAAAAAGTTTAATTTAAAATAGATCACGTGATACAGTTCTATCTGACCAGGTTACAACACCTCCCTCTCCCATGAAGTGACAAAATCAACACGAATATTGTGATAAGCAAGTTCACTGTGTAAACAAACACTACTTTTATAATTTTACACACCGGTTAAATCCAACAATCCACACTTCATTTCGTTATCTTTACTAATTGACCAACTTGATAACGAAAAAGTACCCCCAGACAGAGGAACGATGATCAAGTTAGTAAACTTTATTTTGATATCATAACAGACGTCCTATTATTATTATTATTTCCTTTGTTATTTGGTTTAGTGATCTTCATTGCTATTTTGACTTTCAATATGTCCCTTCAACTTGACCTAACTTGTCTATTTTATCACCCCCTAACTCTTTGTTATATTATATATATATATATGCTGAGTGGATTTTGTACATTCCGGTTTAATAATGCCACTTTGATAAAGCTATTAGCTGCAGCAGCAGTAAATAGCAAAACGTCAGTCAAAACAACAATATCGTTTTATTTTTCATTCATTCATTCATTCATTCATCGGGAAATACAAGTAAAAACCTTCATTATAATGAATATCATTTGTGTTGTCACAAGGTGGTCGAATGAGGATTTCTATCTGAATTTCCATGTACTCAACTCTAACTAAGTCTTTCAGGTGTTTACAACAAATAGCATGACGACGTTTGATGCAGGCGGATGCAGGAGATGAGGCTGATTCGTGCAAATCACAGTGCATAGTCAAGTTTTGTTGTCAAGTAGCGAAACCATGCGACATTGGTTTTCGGTGAAAACTTACTCCAATCATTTCGATTACATGATTTCATACGACGATATACATATATGTATGTCAAACTGATGATCTCCCTGGGATTGAAATAAAGTAGCGTCGTCGTCACTACTTAATTAAGTCAACATATAGACTAAACCCTCATCTTGTTCTAAACGAGACATAGTATAAAGTCGTCTATGATGCATGTATGCGGTGAGGCGACATTTTCGAACACTTATCACTTGATCATTCAGACGAAATTGCACATATTTATTATTATTATTACTGTGCAATTCTTTGTCACCACTGTTTTTATTTTCCTTATCAGATTCTGCGTCTACTTCATCCATATTTTCCAAATGAGAACAATATCTACAACAATCTTTTTTTTAAGATGTGTAGATAATGAGGAAACCGAGCGGGTGGAGGACAAGGATGAAAACGAAGAAGAAGAAGAAGAGGATAATGGTGTCGATGATAAAGAAGACACAGTTGACACGTATTTACAGGGGGGACACGCAACTTTCATTGATCATCAAAACATTCCCCCAATGCAATGCAAGAATTTCACAGCGTTTCTGGGATCCTTAGAAGACCTACCATCGTGCGTCGGTGGTACGACAGTGGCACCAACCAAGTTAAGTGGTCCGGAGTTTGATCCCTGGTCGATGCACTTTTTTACCTCGCTTAGTCGGTAATAAGGCCGGTAAAGAAGGAGGGTTGGACATGAGGCCTACAACCCCACCCAGTAAAAAATACGCCACTGCTACTGAAGCTTCGAAGCTCTCGCTTGAAACCTTATATTCCACTGGGAACTCAAAGGAATAAAATAAATTCTAAAAAACAGCTGTAAAGTCATTCATTGTTGTATTAAAGATTTATTCTACCTAAGGTACTTACATATACGTTGGTGGTTGGTTGGTTGGTTCAGTGATGGAGTGCTCGCCAATGGTAGAACTGGACCGGGGTCGATTCCCACCTGATGTACTTTGATACTACGCCTATTTCACTGAGTGGTAATAACTCAGGAAATGATGGAGTGTTTGGTATGAGGCTAGAAACATCACCCCGTTAAGATAGCTCTACGGTTAATGAAGCTTGAAAGCCTGAAAGCCTACGCTCCAGTTGGAATGAAAAACAAGGTATTTACACATGCCTTAGTGCACCGAATATTTTGGTAAAGATCTTTCTACGTAAAGTGTGTCTAATTCCACACAGCTTTTCTCTACTTGATAAACCTGAAATCCTAAACAAAGACTACTCTCTGTCTATAGATAATGCTAATATATGTGTGTAAAAATTGGGCACTGTGGTAGTAAGTAATTCCATATTAGTCTGTTTATTAGATATATCACACAGTGAGTGAAACAGTATTATTATTATTAACTGGATGACAATGTTTCGAACACAATTTTTTGTGGTTCATAATCATATCATCAATTATAATCACACGACTTGGAAACTTGAGTTTTATAGTTTTCTTTGTTCTCTCTCTCCTATTTGTCGTCGTTGGGGTAGTAGAACTTTCCAGATATCTGGCTGGACAGGTGTTGAATCATTCCTATTACACGTATTCTCTTTCAGTTGATTCGATAAATAAAGTTTACGTTATCAATTTCTCCCTCCTTTCAGCCTGTTACATTAGATTTTAAAACTGTCATCTTATCCCATCCATCCTATTGTATGGTCGTGTGTAATTGTATATAGTGCTATAACTGAACTATTCTATAGATTTCTTATCTTATTCGGGTCAACTAATCTAGATTTGGTTAGATTTTTATGCTCGGCTAATCTGACTGCCTCCTTTAGGCGACAAAGTATTTTTCTAATTGAGTTTGTGGGTGGTTTGAATTGCAGCCACTTTTATTCCTGCCAGCATTGTTAAGAATTCTGCGGAAGGTGGTTTCCGAGGTTCCTTCCTTGTATGGAATTACTACTGATGATTTATATTCCTTATTGTTGGTGTTGTCATTATCTTGGGCATGTTTGACATGCATGTCGTCATTAATAATAATAATATTATCACTACTATTGTTGTTTATTTCATTTTTACATTTCCCTACATACTTCCTGATTAATTTATCAGGGTAATCATTAATTAAGTTTCAAAGCTTCATTTATATGCCTCACTTAGATTTTCCTTGGTACTACTTAGTTTTTGTGCTCTATTACTTAAACATTTCACCAATCCTATTTTTACTGACATAGTGGATGGGATAAGTGGAAATCCAAATATCTGTTTGAGTGTGTGGGTTTCCTTCTCATCTTCCTTCCTTCCTTCCTTTTTATCCTGTAAATAAATAATATCGTTTCACTGTGTGGTATATCTAATAAACAAACTAATTTGGTATAGATAATGCTGCCTGAAATAAAAGTAAATCTAATTAGATTCATTTGTCAGGTGTCTGTTAGAAGTACTGTGGCTAGTGCCACTGACAGTACTTATAAGTAGTGTATACAAGCAGATCAAAACATGTATATGATCTGCAAGAATACAGAATAGTAGAGAGATGGATTTAACGAGGAAAAAACAACATGAAAAGCATGAAAGGAAGACAAAGAAACACAATACCGAAAACATGTGCAGATTGTGATTCTGACATATGGTAGACGACGTATTCTGCAAAATATCTCCTATGCATTGAATTGCCAATAAACAGTTCCGTTACCGAATCCTCTTGTCTTCCCCCTCCCCTACAGTTAGCTATCCCTTGTTCACTATAAATTTCCTTTGCCTGTGAGTAATAAGTTTATTTTTCAAGTATTGGTTTTGTAGGGATTTTGTTTGATTGCATGGAGGATTTCATCATCATGAGCTGACATCGGTTAGAGAACCACTGGAAAACCTGCAGGGAGTACTGGACAGCTGTTTCCGTTGTCCTAGTTTGGGACTTTTCACAGTACGCACCCACCACCAGGGTTATAACCACCCAGGACCTTCTGGTTACAAGGCTGGTGAGGTTGTAGACCATTGAGCCACTGGGAACCGATACAATGACCAGCCAATGCATGAATTCTAACTTCTTCCAATTCACGACATAGCGCGACCATTTCGCAATGTCTTCTTCGATGAGTCACTGCCTCATCTTCGACCTGCTCTACCCTACTGGTCACGGGTGCGTACTGATGAAGAGTCCCAAACTGGGACAACGGAAACAGCTGCCTAGCACTCCCAGGTTTTCCAGTGGTTCTCTAACTGATATCAGCTCATGATGAAATCCTCCATGTAATGAGTTTATCTTTGGAATTCGATTTGTTGTGATATCTGTCTTTCGATTAACTTTCATCTGACTGCACTTTCATCCTATGATATTTTTCAGTGGTACTGTGTCGAGGGTATACAATTTGCATTTCATAGTTCAATTAGTTATAGGCTCTGCTAATTGTTATTATTTTTTTTTTTTTTTTTTTTTTTTTTTTTTTTTTTTTTTTTCATTTTAGGATTTCATGCCATACTCTTTACTTTTCCACCCACCCACCCCTTCTTTTTGTCACTAGATACGGATCGTTAACTTGGGAATGGCAATCGGATATTGCGCTACGAAGTCCTTTACATCCAATTTTAATAAGCCTGTTGTACAAATTATTCGCATTGTACGGTATTGACTCACACTGGCTAATAGTGAAATCGCCTCAAATTTTACACGCTTGTTTTGCAGCTGTAGCTGATTTTCATTTGTATAAATTTGTCAGTCAATTGTCCGGTTATGAAGTGGCTAGAGTAGGTGCTTATTTTTTTCTATTTATTTTTTTGTTAATGGAATTTCTGTATTTTGATAACATTTCGCCACAGTTGCTGGTTCATTTGCTCTCTATGACCGTGAAATCTATCTCTTCGCTATTTGAGGTTTTTGTGCTGAGGGAAGTCTTTCTATACTACTGACAAATCTTATCAGTAACACATGTCACAAGGCCAGTTCAAGATCATTGAAAATCAGGGGCCACTGGACAATTGTTTCACCCGTTTTTGGGGGTTCTTCAGAAGTGCATACCCACCACCTCACCAGGGATCGACTCTGTGGTTTTCAGGTCGTGAGACCAAGATCGTCGACCATTCAGCCACGTGAGCTGTAAATCAATGAACTCCGAGTTCCAACCAATACCTCCATGTTGCTGGTTCGGGACTAAATCCGCACTTAGTTTTCTGTAAGATTTCAAGTCTAATAATAATAATAATAACGATTTGCTTTATTCCGAAACGGTACTTGTGATACAGAATGGAATTCTCAGCATTTTTACTACAGTATTGCATCCAGTTAGTACATTATCAATAAATAAAATTCTACATAGATTATGGGTAATCTCAGTTAGTTTTGACAACAACATATTAGCACATCGGTAGGTAGCAAAGCCAAAAGTGAACAGAATGTTTGAAGGTGTTAGAAAAGAACTAGATACTAGCATATTTACTGGCGCGTAAGCGGTAACAAAAGGGTCGAGATATACAGAGTATGAAAGAACGAAGAAGAATGTTTTAAGTAGAGTTTGTAAGGAAGAGAGAAACAAAACAGCACAGCAAAAGAAAGAGAGAGAAAAGGAAAAGAAAGCAAGCAAACCTTGTACTTATAAATGATATACATTGGAAAGACGAGATCCAATTCTTTTACTGACTATCTAATAAGTTATAAGTTTCACGTCTAATGCTTTCTTTATCGCACAGAACACGAGCTAAGTAGGGTATGGTTGAGTTTTTGTACTTGCTAGTGTGAGCATTTAGTTTTCTATATAGGCCTCTGGTCCTGCCTGATGAGATACAAGGGATGAGTTAGATAGAATGGATTTGGCCCATTTTTGACATGAGTCCAAGTGCCTGTCGACCAGAATATTAACAAGCTGGTTAAGTGGCACGTTGCTTACCCTGCTGACAACCTTTAACACCCTACGTAATAAGACATAGTCCTTCTTCATTAGCCCCTCCTGGAAAAACTGAGGGGGAACAATACAGAATAATACGCAGGATGCAAGAGTCAACGAATCGTAAGAGTAAGGGTTGGGTTATTCCAGAATGTCTAAACTTCTTGATGTAGAAGGTAAGACGGAATATTTTCTTAGAAATCGTCAAGATATGAGACGACCAGGAGAGATCAGCAGATAGAATGATGCCAAGATATTTAATTTCCGACTTGGTTTCTATTTCAGTGCCATCTATGTTGCACACCTCGTGAGAGCTAACCAGTTTGTTTAGGTCGGATTTATGCCTAAAGGTGAAATTGACTGTTTGGCATTTGGAGGGGTTTAGGGTAAGACCGTTTTTCTTGAACCACTGGCTGATTTCTGATAAAAAGCCATTTAGTTTGTAGCAGTCACTTTGACACTTGACAGTCAAAAATCCTATGTTAGCTAACATTGACCATGCAGTAAAACGATGGCTCGAAATGTGCAACACGTGCCCTAGTCATCTCAATCGATGTAGTTTCATAACCTTATCGATTGTTTTACCCTGTCCACCCAAAACTCTACGCCTAACCTGAATGTTACTCACCCTTTAACACGGAAGATAGAATGCAGCTTTATCTCTAACTCTATAACTTCTCCTGGTCAGTATCAGCTCTAATTAGATTACAACAAACGTCTGTAGGGATTTGAATTAATTAATCTCAGTGTGGATTTAGTCATGAACCAGCAACATGGAGGTATTGGTTGGTGAAAAATGGGCCAAATCCATTTTATCTAACTCACACCACCCTCTTCATTCACAACTCTCCCTTTGCATCTCATCAGGCAAAACCAGAAGCCTATATAGAAAACTAAATGCTCACACTAGCAAGTACAAAAACTCAACCATACCCTACTTAGCTCGTGTTCTGTGCGATAAAGAAAGCATTAGACGTGAAACTTATAACTTATTAGATAGTCAGTAGAAGAATTGGATCTCGTCTTTCCAACGTATATCATTTATAGGTGCAACGTTTGCTTGCTTTCTTTTCCTTTTCTCTCTCTTTCTTTTGCTGTGCTGTTTTGTTTCTCTCTTCCTTACAAACTCTACTTAAAACATTCTTCTTCGTTCTTTCATACTCTGTATATCTCGACCCTTTTGTTACCGCTTACGCGCCAGTAAATATGCTAGTATCTAGTTCTTTTCTAACACCTTCAAACATTCTGTTCACTTTTGGCTTTGCTACCTACCGATGTGCTAATATGTTGTTGTCAAAACTAACTGAGATTACCCATAATCTATGTAGAATTTTATTTATTGATAATGTACTAAGTGGATGCAATACTGTAGTAAAAATGCTGAGAATTCCATTCTGTATCACAAGTACTGTTTCGGAATAAAGCAAATCGTTATTATTATTATTATTAGATCTGAAGATAGTTAAAGATGGTCAAACCAAAACATTGGTCATTGGTCAATGAACTCTTTGACATTTGTTGTAAGCTAGCCGTGTAGCGAGGTGTAGCCGGATTGCTTGTGGCCTTCGGAATGCTAAGAACCAATGGATTGCGACTGTCGGTATAATACGGTTCAAAATGCATTCAACACTCACTCTTTGTGTAGTCTCCCATATCCACTAAACCTTTATGTTGTGTTTCCTATTTTAATGAACGAAATATTCCCATATTGAGTCATAAGAAAGAGGCACAAACAGCGAAGAAAATTTTCTTTTCGACGATTCATTTTCATGAGCTGTACAATCGTAATTATAATTAACAAAGAAATCTTTAGACCAATCAGATACTGGTAAATTTTGTCCTTGGAAAATTGTATTACATAATGTAAGGTGTAAGAAGGGATGACTAATTGTAAGTTAGAAAGGAGACAGAAGTTGGCATGACGTAATAAGTGTGAGATAGTGAATAATCAATAATCTCGTGTAAAATGGACAGGAACTAGTGGAAAGGCTATAAAGTGTTTTTGTATAAAATATGTATGAAAAACAATGTTATTAATAAACAGTAATAGAGTGGTAATGAAATGTGGATGATGGGGACAAAATGATAAAAATATTAATAAAATAAAATAATAATGGTAATAATAGTGAACTTACATAATAAAGGAAGGAAGCAAAATTGTGACAAGAACTTTACTCTGGCCATGGTAAGGCTACAGAATGTATGTATCGCTTTTGTATGCAGAGGTCCGGTTTTAGATCTCGAATAGCTAATGCTTCAGCTATGTACAGATGGCGAATCCGAAGTCCCTTCGTACGATATTGAGGGACCCTGTGTAACACTGTGAAGCATTCATGTGGGGGTGCTCGATGTCCAGAGATGACAAGGTGTTCGAGCACCCCCACATGAATGCTTCACAGTGTTACACAGAGTCCCTCAATATCGTACAAAGGGACTTCGGATTCGCCATCTGTACATAGCTGAAGCATTAGCTATTCGAGATCTAAAACCGGACCTCTGCATACAAAAGCGATACATACATTCTGTAGCCTTACCATGGCCAGAGTAAAGTTCTTGTCACAATTTTGCTTCCTTCCTTTATTATGTAAGTTCACTATTATTACCATTATTATTTTATTTTATTAATATTTTTATCATTTTGTCCCCATCATCCACATTTCATTACCACTCTATTACTGTTTATTAATAACATTGTTTTTCATACATATTTTATACAAAAACACTTTATAGCCTTTCCACTAGTTCCTGTCCATTTTACACGAGATTATTGATTATTCACTATCTCACACTTATTACGTCATGCCAACTTCTGTCTCCTTTCTAACTTACAATTAGTCATCCCTTCTTACACCTTACATTATGTAATACAATTTTCCAAGGACAAAATTTACCAGTATCTGATTGGTCTAAAGATTTCTTTGTTAATTATAATTACGATTGTACAGCTCATGAAAATGAATCGTCGAAAAGAAAATTTTCTTCGCTGTTTGTGCCTCTTTCCCATTTTACTAAACTTCCTCCCTAATATTTATGCTTTCTCTTGTACTTGTACTGAGAAACCATTTTACACATTAAACAACTATTTTCTAATCTTGTGTAATTTTTGTTTCTGCTTCCCTTGTCATCTATATTCACACTTTCGTACCACGTTGAAAACTATTATCACCTTCACTTTCGCCTCGATATTACGTAGAATCGAATAGTAATCGTGACTGAGTAAACTTGTGTATATAAATGCGATTGTTCAACTGCTTTTGAGGATGAAATCACCGAATCGACATATCTGTGCTGAGCTTCTTGTTCTTCCCTGTCGAATATTCAATGAGTTTCATCGATGTTCACCCCAGTTTACATATGGCTCATTGTCAGTTTCAATAGAATGCACATGGTTATTGGTGGTAGTGGTGGGGGAGGGGGTAAGGTTTCATTCCTTTCTCGAGTTACCATGTCTGTGAGCAAAATATAAAACCAGAAAACTGTACGCTAGCACGTTGGAGGAGAATTCGTATAAGTGATAAACTGACTGACTGATTGGCTGGTTTCAACGCAGAACTTTGCACAGGAGTGCAGCAGTTCGAGTTGTGACACTCCCTCCATGTTGCACACAAAGCAAGAGAAGAGAGGAAAAAGAAATTCAAAAGAGAGACAGATAATAAACAGAAGTGTGAGGGAAAAAGCATAGTAATACGCAAGAACAACAGAGTTTTAGTGGATATTACATGTCACAAAGAGTGAATGCATCTCCTTCAGTCGTCATTGGTTCTAATCATCGCGGGGACCGCAACCAGGTAGGCAGGCAGTCTACACCTCCCTACGTGGCTGACTGGCTTAAAGTAACTGTTGTGGACTTCTTCATTGACTGATGAGGCCATGTTTTGGTTTGATCACTACTAGCTAACTGATTTCCAGCCTGATCCATCTTATTTCAGCTAACATTGCCCATCGAGGAAGGCAATGTCTAGGAATGCTTGCGTAACACATGTCGTAATCATCTCAGTCGGTGTAAATTCATAACCTCTTCGATTGATTTCCGCCTCCTTACCTGGCACTCGACCGACGCCTAGCCTCAATAATTGGTAAACAATGCGTTATAAACCTAAACCGTGTCGGTCGCCTACTCATTTGAATCTTAGTGTTTCAACTGAAAATTTAACACTCAGTCCTCTTTATTATTTTGTCTGTTATCATATATATATATATATATATATATATAGGAATGGAATTTTCACATCCTCTGTACTAATTTATTTGTTCATAATATCGCTTATACGTGTATTTGTGATTTGCTTATTATCTTTCTTCTTTTTTTCTTCAAAAAATCCTAATCCAGTGGACATTGTTTCATCATATATGTAATTGGTTCACCATATACTGTGCTCCACGTAGTTTATCGAATTGTCTGGAATGGTGTCTGTTTATAATCGGCTTATCCTACTACCCATGGAGTAGTGTCTGTGAAACAAGCACAGTGTCCGCTCAATCCATTCGTTCTGACCATCCGAAAACGTTTATATTTATTGCTGTGCTATGTGTTCTACTACGTCCAACAGCTGCTATCATTTGGTTTCCTCTGTGTATCTGGCATCTATGGCAAAAGTGTAAAGTGAGTAGTTGTTCGTGGAGTGGAAATAACGATTCCTGCATAAAAGAACATAAAGATAATTCCAGGTAGGTGTAACTTCAGTTTGCCTAATACATAACAAGAGGCGTATTTTATTGAGAAATAATTTAGCTTCAAGTATTAGTTTGTATAACAGTGGCTCACTATGGACACTTGGAGACTGATAGAAGAGAGAGGGATGGTGAAAGAAAAGATTCTCCAGTGCACCGACGAGCAACAAAAACAGGATTTGAATGCAAGCTACAAGACACTGAACAAAAGAGTAAAGAAGAGTGCCAGAGAAGACAAAATAAAGTATTATGAAGCCATGGCAAGTGAAGCAAAACAAGCTGCAGGCAAAGGAGACCTCGCAACACTCTACCAAACAACTAGGTACCTCTCAGGCAAAAATTCGTCACAAATTAAGGTACCTATCGGGCAAAAGTTTGACACAAATTAGGCCGGTGAAGGATGACAACGGAAAGTCAATCACCAAAGAAGTGGAGCAAAGGAAACACTGGGCTGAACACTTCAAAAGACTCCTAAATCGACCACCACCTACAGCACGCCCAACAATACCAACGACGAAGACAGAGCTACCAGTGAACATCAACCCCCCGACGAAATCAGAAGTCCTGGAGGCAATCAAGATGCTAAAAGCTGGAAAAGCAGCAGGTCCAGATGGAATCCCAGCAGAAGCATTGAAAATGGACCCGGAGACAACAGCGGACTTGATGACGCCACTACTGGAGAAGGTGTGGAAAGATAGCAAAATACCCGAGGATTGGAAGAAAGGATACTTATTCAAACTACCAAAGAAAAGAGACCTAAGTCAATTCAAGTGCTGGCGCGGAATTATACTCCTATCCATCTCAAGCAAAATGCTTAGCCGCATCATCCTGGAGAGAATCAAACATGCCCTGGATGAAAAACTTTTGATAAAAAACAACAACAAAATCAACCAGGTGTTATGTAACACGCTGTGAAAAATCACATCGATTGTTATCCATCCTATTTTTAAACTGTAACGCAACTAGTTGTGGTTACAGCATCTACAAGAGTAATATTTGATACATAATAGTAGTTAGTAGTCAGTATTTGCCTTTTTCTTGACGTGTATATTTTTTTAGTCTCTGTGTCTCTCTTGTCGTTTCTTTCGAGTAATCTGTCTCACTATCCACCATTTTTAGGTTAATTCGCTATTTATGGAATTCCTGTTCAAGGATTCACGAAGGCTTTTCACATGCCTACTAATTTTCCGAATTTTCAATGCCTTACTGATTCAAACATCCTATGTAGCAGATGAGTATTGGCAGTTGATTGAAGTGGCGCATAACTGGGTGTTTGGGTAAGCGGAGTTACTCTACTATGACGAATTAAAAATAACAATATTCTGTGCAACCAGTGTTACAGATTTCGTATATTTTGTTATGTTAGCAAAATTGAGATATCTGTCTTCAATACATATGTGAAGATAGTTACCAGGAGAGGCAATTATATCGCTCATGAAGAAATTGAAATCATTTCACTTTATGCTAAATATTGCGCTGAAAGGGGATGTTGTCTGGAAGGGGGACGACGAAAGCTCCGCAACTAAGCCAACCAACTCAGAGAACACTATTAATTGCATATCTGTCTGTCTTCTATCATACAGCGTTTCAGGGATCTTTAGAAGACCTACAATCGTGCGTCGGTGGTTCAGTGGTGGTGGTACGACACTGGCACTGACCAAGTTAAGTGGTCCGGAGTTCGATCCCTAGTCGACGCACTTCTTTACCTCGCTTAGTCGGTAATAAGCTAGCTCGGTAAAGAGGGAGGGTTGGACATGAGGCCAACAACCCCACCTAGTAAAAAATACGCCACTGCTACTGAAGCTTCGAAGCTCTCGCTTGAAACCTTATGTTCCACTGGGAACTCAAAGGAATAAAATAAATTCTAAAAAACAGCTGTAAAGTCATTCATTGTTGTATTAAAGATTTATTCTACCTAAGGTACTTACATATACGTTGGTGGTTGGTTGGTTGGTTCAGTGATGGAGTGCTCGCCAACCATATAACTGGACCGGGGTCGATTCCCACCTGATGTACTTTGATACTACGCCTATTTCACTAAGTGGTAATAACTCAGGAAATGATGGAGTGTTTGGTATGAGGCTAGAAACATCACCCCGTTAAGATAGCTCTACGGTTAATGAAGCTTGAAAGCCTGAAAGCCTACGCTCCAGTTGGAATGAAAAACAAGGTATTTACACATGCCTTAGTGCACCGAATATTTTGGTAAAGATCTTTCTACGTAAAGTGTGTCTAATTCCACACAGCTTTTCTCTACTTGATAAACCTGAAATCCTAAACAAAGACTACTCTCTGTCTATAGATAATGCTAATATATGTGTGTAAAAATTGGGCACTGTGGTAGTAAGTAATTCCATATTAGTCTGTTTATTAGATATATCACACAGTGAGTGAAACAGTATTATTATTATTAACTGGATGACAATGTTTCGAACACAATTTTTTGTGGTTCATAATCATATCATCAATTATAATCACACGACTTGGAAACTTGAGTTTTATAGTTTTCTTTGTTCTCTCTCTCCTATTTGTCGTCGTTGGGGTAGTAGAACTTTCCAGATATCTGGCTGGACAGGTGTTGAATCATTCCTATTACACGTATTCTCTTTCAGTTGATTCGATAAATAAAGTTTACGTTATCAATTTCTCCCTCCTTTCAGCCTGTTACATTAGATTTTAAAACTGTCATCTTATCCCATCCATCCTATTGTATGGTCGTGTGTAATTGTATATAGTGCTATAACTGAACTATTCTATAGATTTCTTATCTTATTCGGGTCAACTAATTGGGCAGAAAGAAGAGACAGGACAAACCGTGGCTCACTACGGACACTTGGAGGCTAATAGAAGAGAGAAGGATGGTGAAACAAAAGATTCTGCAATGCACCGACGAGCAACAGCAACAGGAGTTGAATGCAAGCTACAATACACTGAACAAAGGAGTAAAGAAGAGTGCCAGAGAAGACAAAAGAAAGTATTATGAAGCCATGGCCAATGAAGCAGAACAAGCAGCAGGCAAAGGAGACCTCGCAACACTCTACCAAACAACTAGGTACCTCTCAGGCAAAAATTCGTCACAAATTAAGCCAGTGAAGGATGAAAATGGAAAGTCAATCACCAAAGAAGTGGAGCAAAGGAAACACTGGGCTGAACACTTCAAAAGACTCCTAAATCGACCACCACCTACAGCACGCCCAACAATACCAACGACGAAGACAGAGCTACCAGTGAACACCAACCCTCGACGAAATCAGAAGTCCTGAAGGCAATCAAGATGCTAAAAGCTGGAGAAGCAGCAGGACCAGATGGAATCCCAGCAGAAGCATTGAAAATGGACCCTGAGACAACAGCGGACTTGATGACGCCAATATTGGAGAAGGTGTGGAAAGAAGGCAAAGTACCCGAGGATTGGAAAAAAGGATACCTATTCAAACTACCAAAGAAAGGAGACTTAAGTCAATGCAAGAACTGGCGCGGAATTATGCTCCTGTCCATCCCAAGCAAAATACTAAGCCGCATCATCCTGGAAAGGATCAAACAAGCCCTGGATGAAAAACTTCGACCGGAACAGGCTGGATTCAGGAGAAACAAGTCATGTATTGATCAAATCGCCACACTACGGATCATCATTGAACAAAGTTTGGAATGGCAGTCACCTCTCTATCTCAACTTCATCGACTTTGAAAAGGCCTTCGACAGCGTCGATCGAGAGGTGATTTGGCAACTACTTCGCTACTACGGGGTGCCACCGACAATTATACATCTCATCCAACAGTTGTATGACAACGCTGCATGCCAAGTAATCCACAACGGGAAGCTCACGGAATCCTTCGAAGTGAAGACAGGAGTAAGACAGGGTTGCCTACTATCGCCAATGATTTTCCTGGTTGCAGTAGACTGGATGATGCGACAAATAACGGGCAACGAGGAAAGAGGCATAAAATGGACTCACACAAAGAACTTGGAGGATCTGGACTTCGCCGATGATATATGCCTGATTTCCCACAAACTGGAAGATATGCAAGTGAAAAGTAACAAGTTGGCAGAAGAAGCATCAAAGATAGGACTCCAGGTGAACATAGAGAAAACAGAGGTGATGAAGATCCCTGGCCAACAACAACAACAACAGACAGCCATCAGCATAAATGGAAAGAACCTGAAAGAAACTACCTCCTTTACCTACTTGGGAAGCATTGTTTCAACTATAGGCGGAACTGACGAGGATATCAAAGCAAGGATCGGGAAAGCAAGACAAGCTTTCATTACTCTCAAGTCTGTGTGGAGGTCAACATCATTCAGCGTCAGAAATAAGATCGGGATTTTCAACTCCAATATGAAGTCAGTACTACTATACGGATCAGAGACTTGGCGTGTCACAAAAAGCACCTCAAACAAGCTACAGACCTCCATTAACAAATGTCTTCGCTCATTACTCAAGATCAGATGGCCGGAAAGGATCAGCAACAAAGATCTCTGGGAGCGAACCAACCAGGAACCGATTGTGAAACAAATAGGCAGGAAAAAATGGAGATGGATTGGCCACACGCTGAGGAAACCAGCAAGTGACATCACTAGACAAGCCATTGCTCGAGTGGAACCCGAAAGGGAAGCGACGAGTTGGTCGTCCAAGGGTGACCTGGAGGAGATCATGTGAAGAGGAGATGAAAGCATGTGGGCAGACCTGGAGTCAGGTGAAAACTCTAGCAGAGAACCGAACGCAATGGAGACGCATGGCTGAAGCCCTATGTTCCTCTAGGAACTAAAGGAAATAATAATAATAATAAATCTAGATTTCGCTAGATTTTTATGCTCGGCTAATCTGACTGCCTCCTTTAGGCGACAAAGTATTTTTCTAATTGAGTTTGTGGTTGGTTTGAATTGCAGCCACTTTTATTGCTGCCAGCATTGTTAGGAATTCTGCGTAAGGTGGTTTCCGAGGTTCCTTCCTTGTATGGAAGTACTACTGATGATTTATATTCCTTATTGTTGGTGTTGTC